AGGATAAGAACAGTTCCTATGCTTTCATTTTGATCACTAACAAACACAACAGGTGAACTTAGTACCCAATGACCCACAGATACATTAGAAAGAATTTGTTCAGTGCCAGGGTGGTTAGCAAATGGAATGCAATTGGCAGTGATGTGGTGGAGGCTGACTCCATACACATCAACATACTGGAGTGAACGACATGTAAGAAAATGTAGAATAGAACCAGTGAAGAGCAGAGGTGCCATAGGCACAATCAGAGAACACTGTATAAATATCAGAGGTCCGCGGTTGTTCAACGTCCCCCCAACGACTATAAGAAATATTGCCGGAACAACCGTGGACATCTTCAAGAGAAAATTAGACTGTTTTCTAAAAAACGTGCCGGACCAACCTGGCTGTGGTGGGTATGTGGGCCTGCGGGCTGCTCCAAGCAACAGCCTAGTGGACCAAACTTTCACGAGTCAAGCCTGGCCTCTGGCCGGGCTTGGGGAGTAGAAGAACTCCCAGAACCCCATCAAGCAGGTTTCAAATGTAGGTATGATAGAGCCCAATAGGCTCAGGAACCTGTATACAACTGTCAATCAACCTCAGTTGATTGACAGTTGAGAGGCGGGATCAAAGAGCCGGAGGTCAACCCCCGCAAGCACAACTAGGTGAGAACGACACTGGTAGAACGAGGGCCCCATCTATTGGCTTTTACGGCTTCAATAAATCCATCCTCACGTCGTCCATCCTGGGTTCCTATATACGCGATGACTTACACCTGTAGAATTAAATAGTATTGGAACCTATGTGGAGGCTCAGGCCTACCAACTATTGGACGAACGTACAAAAATTGATTGTTGCAGCCCTCAGTGTTGACTTTTGGAATATTAATTTTTGTAGAGGACACGGACAAAGTTGAAAGGCAAATAAATAAATAAATAAATAAATATATATATATATATATATATATATATATATATATATATATATATATATATATATATATATATATATATATAATGAGGGAAAGATACGGTAGGAGGGACTATAAGGGAACTTAATAGAAACTATTTTATTTAATCATTTATGTATTTGCACACGTTTACAAAATCGTCTTTAAACAATAGACCAGAAACTGTCTATGGGTGTGAGAAAACAGTCTTTAAGGGAGGCCAGTGACATTTTTTACCTCAAAAAACTTTAAATTTCTCCTTAAACCAAAAAAATCAACAAAGACTAGAAAGAGGAATACATTGATAATTCAAGGTAAGGATTAAGAGCTGTCAAGAAATGTTTATCTTATTATCACAAGTTATACCATCACTCAGTCGCTTTCAAAGATTAATACAAGCTGGAACTGTATTTGTGAACTAAATTTCAGTGAAAACTGTTAGTACAGATCAACTATAGATATATAGCCACATTACACATTTGATAAACATATATGTGTTTAGAACTCTAGTTACCAATGTAACTTTAACTTTGCGTCACTAAATACTTTTTGAAAGAACGTGCATTGCAGCAAATATTTGACAGGTTCATAAATGAATTTCCTCAAAAATACATACGACACACAAAAAAGGCAAAACAAATTCAGAGCACATTAAGCTGGAGAGTCAGTTAATGCAGAAAAGAACAAACTTTGAAAACCTATGAATTAGATATTCTACACACGACATCAGTTAGAAACTCATCAATGAGGGGGGAAGAGTGAACGATCAAGTTACGCTTGATGCGAGGACTACTATGTTGAACAGATTCAGAGTACCAGAACGCCTAGAGTAATACCATGTTTGCTGTGGCATGTACCTACCAGTACACTTCCCAGGTTTTATAACACGTACGTATTGCATAAACCGCTATAGTATGACATAAAGGTATAATAGTATATAAACCACTATAGGAGGAACTGGTCTGGTGTTTGGTTCTGTCAACGTCTGGAGGGTTATTAATGTCACCACAACACATTACTCACCAGTAAGTATACCTTAGTCCTGAACATTGTCCAGGACTAAAATATACTCTCAGTGTACACTGATAAATGGTGTTCACGTCCCTTCTACAGTAGTGTACAGATCGTCTTAGTAGTATATACAAAATAAAATGGGTTATGCTGATGTATGTGACTAATGGCAAACCGAAATATAGTTGGTCTAAAATGTAATTAAACTAGAAATTTGTTATTAGTTTTGAAATTACAAATAATCTGCATTTTAGTGTTTAAGGCAATGCGTTACGAAGTGACGTCTTCTCTTAATTTGATATATTATTTGTTGTATTAATTTGTGACTTGATAATTCGTGTCATCGATAGAGTTGAACCATCTGGTGGAGCAAGATGTTAACAGGATTCCTGAAGTCACACTGTACCGCGTGACGTCAATAAATTCAGCAGTAACCGGTCTTAGCTTCACTAGGATACAAAAATGGTACCTTAACCTACTTGCACGGCAAATATAAATCTAAAAGTCTTTACAAAACTTCCAAAAGTTATGTTATTTTTTCAGTTTGTATCTCTATATGCATTAATCCTCCGACTCATACAGGTGCGTTAAGCAGGTAAATTGTCACTTTATTATACATCATTAACACACTTAAGGTAATATACAGGAAAGTTATTAATTATATCAGATGCTGGTTGGGGGTTACCCAATTACTAAGTCATCATATCTACTCTACCAGTATGAAAGTTGTCTTTTTTTCTGTTGTAGCATAAAGTTAGTCTTCAGAAGGGAGCATCGTGGAGAGAAAGGGTGGGAATAAGAAACATTGTTTACATGAAAATATATCCATGTGACACGAGCACGTGGCTTTGTTTACATAACATTGGTCAGCTGATCGATGGCCGACTTGATAGTAAATATTGAATTTTTGTTTTTGTTTTTAATATTTTTAATATTATTAAACTAGTAGATTTTGAGTTGTGGTTATCACCTGCTCGTCATCACAAGCATTGAGTCCGCGGACCTCTGAGCAAAGGCTTTGTTTAAAACATAAACTGCTAACACAGTCTACTCTTAATGGCATATTTCTGGTCCAAGTTTACATGTAAATATCTTGATACTTGCTATTAGCTATACATTTGTAGTCTCAAGGCTACACACCTACAGCCTCGGGGCTACACACTACAGCCTAGGGGCTACACACCTGCCAACCCTCAGAGAACACCATAATAAAGTCCCTACATAATTGCTTTCCTATTCATATATGTATTTACTCTAGGAATGATAAGTTTGCTCTGGAAATGAGTAGTTCCCTTTGGGGGGGGGGGGGTGAAGATCTCACACACACACACACACACACACACACACACACACACACACACACACACACACACACACACACACACACACACACACACTCAACAAAACATGCTCATTCTTCACACACCTTGAGAATACAGAATGCGTATGTTCGTTAGTGGGGCGGTGTTGATGAACCGTATACAGAACACAGTTTGACAGGTTATAACCTGTATAACATACAGGTTATAACGCCGGTACGGTATAGAAATACAACATGGGCCTGTAAAACATTCCAGATACTGTGTGTGTGTGTGTACTCATCTAGTTACTCACCTAGTGTGTGTGTGTGTGTGTGTGTGTGTGTGTGTGTGTGTGTGTGTGTGTGTGTGTGTTGAGAGAATAATAAGCACGTCACTGGGAAATCACTGGAGTACACCACGATACAACGTGAAGACACCTCACTTCCAAGACGCGGTTGGACACAAGCAACGTCTACTGTCTCGCACAGATATGCTGGCCTGTAGGAGGGCGGCCAGGCAGCAGGTGGCGACACAAGGCTGTTCACCAGTGCACGAAGAACAACCAGGAGGCAACACAAGGCTGAACATCACACTGTTCACCAGTACACGAAGAACAGCAAGAGTAATGCAAGTACAAGCCAGCTACGTGTGGAATGTTTAGCTCACAAGCAATATATATATATATGTGGATATCTAATATATTTTTCCTTTAATTTAGTCTCAAGCTTGTAGTTGAGGTTTGGTCTATATAAGATACGATATTTGAGTACAAATTCGGGCAATTTGCAACTTGATATTAGTGACTTCAGCAGGTGTGAACTAGCACAGATGATGCTTCTCAGAAGAGGCAACAATCTCTTCTCTGATCAGTCTCCATACAGTCGTATTGTTACACTCGTAATAACTATACATAATACCTTCTTCATTGGGTATTCGTCAGACTTTCTAAACAGATGGTCATAATATTAAATGTCTGGCATTTCATCACGCTATATATTTGTATACATATTAATCATTATATATTTGTATTCATAATCACTATATATTTGTAAACATATTAATCATTATATATGTGTATACATATTAATCATTATATATTTGTATACATATTAATCATTATATATTTGTATACATATTAATCATATATTTGTATACATATTAATCATTATATATTTGTATACATATTAATCATTATATATTTTTCTATACATATTAATCATTATTCATTTGTATACATATTAATCATTTAACTTTTGGTAGTTTCGTTGTCTGCGCGTTGGTCTGTATACTGTGTGTATACCAATAATTCTCTCATCTCTACAGTTTTAAATATTCCAAAATAATCAAGTGACTCTTCGTCACCTCCCAAATGCTTTGTTAATCTTCGACGTGTCGAGATATTAACTCTGTTCCGGTCACTACCAAACCCTGAGTTCTGTGTCTCAACTTCCTTCTGTCTTAACATTATCAGTTCATAAGTTCAGTATTTGCTAACACCTGCAGGTCTTTACTTAGATATCTGCAAACACTCTCAGGTCTTAGAGCCCATGAGAGTGGAGGCCTTGAGGTCTCAGGTCTTAGAGCCCATGAGAGTGGAGGCCTTGAGGTCTCAGGTCTTAGAGCCCATGAGAGTGGAGGCCTTGAGGTCTCAGGTCTTGGCCCCGTGGAGCACCTCCTCTTCGTAGGGGCTGTTTATTGTGGTTTGTGAATCCCCATTTCTGGCCAAAGGATATATGACACACTAAGTATGACATCTACTGGTGATAAGCTCTATGGACTTGTTACACCACAGAACCCAATTCCTTCTTGTATGGCTTGTTAAGGAGCAGCACCGAGATTTATAAAGGAAATTTAAGAGCAAGAGGAATGTTGTTCTTAAACAAAGTCCTTCGCCCCGGCTCACGATAACTGATTTATAAATCAGTCACGTCAGGTCTTAGCTTCAATGTCTTGTTGAATTCTAAATTTTTCTTCGCTTCTAGGTAATAAACACTTAAATGTATAGTTTTCAAGTCACTCACTTTCCAACACGATAAGTGATAGTGATAGACATTGGCGAGATGTACACCGTTTACTAGCCTCCACGTTTCAGTACCTTTCGAACCATCTTTCAGAATTGTTAAGTTTCATTCCAGTGTCATTTTCGAACAATTTTAACACCTTTCGTATTACAGTTTTTTTTGCATCGTACCCAATACTCTTTGTATTTCTGTATTTTCTGGCAGTTTGACCACTGTCTTTAAGGATCTGGTTTTCATTATTTTCATGTGATCCAATATTGTTCAATAAATATTAAAAGTTAGCATTATCAACACGAGTTATATCTTAAGAATTTTCTATTGTTTGAGTACTAATTGGATCAAGCTTCCCCTCCGTGGCTCCTAGAAGTACTTCCTGGTCGTATCCAAGGCCCTCAACGAGCACCTCCTGGCTTCCCTTGTCCCCTGGGCAGAGGCTTCACCATCTCCCGCCACCTGCCTCGTCGTCCCGTCCTCCCTGGCCGCGCCTTCAGGTTAAGGGCCTCTCCACGAACTCAGCCTCTTGGAAGGAGGTCTCAGCCGATTCCCTGTGACTGCTGGAAAAGTTCCAGTAACATTAGTATATTATACACACACACATATCAATGAATATATATCTTGGTTAACTTTTTTTTATGTTGGAGAGGGGGGAGAAGGGCGTTAAATAATGATAGAGAAAATCTCAGTTATTATGTTGAGAACTGGTCGTGGTGAGACTTAAATCAAATATTAATCGTTGATAAAAATACTTATGAAGATTTTAAGATAATTTGATATAGGGTTATATATATATATATATATATATATATATATATATATATATATATATATATATATATATATATATATATATATATATATTATGGAGATTTTAATATAATATAATGAGGGCCTATGATTCATAACGAGGACCCCTTGAACTAAGAGAAGAGAACAAAAGGCACGCGTGAGAGCTTTATGGTCTCTTTGTGTGCCTTTTGCGCTCTATTTAGTATTATGAAAAGATTGTTAAAACTTTTAATACCAGCTTATCTATGTATACGTATAGACGTGTGTGTTGTGTACTTACCTCTTTGTGCCTAGAGAATCGAGCTTCAGCTCTTGGGTCCTACCACTCCAGCCGCCAATTGTCTATTTTAAATGACTCCCTACCTATTTGTCATATCTTTTTCTATAAATCTGAATGAAGTTCATACTAGAATCTGCCGGTTTGGTTCATTACAATTTCCTATTATTCTTACGCCAAGAAAAAACTTTCTAAGATCACTGACTCATTTATTTCTCAAGCTTTCATCTATGTCATCTTGTTCCATTGAAAACATTTCCATATTTTCTTCAACCCAACCATTCCGCTTAATATTCTATGTCCCAGTCATGTCTCCTCTTTTCTATCTGCGATTGGTGTGTCTCTTGGCCTCTGGGACGAGTCTTAATGTGTAAAGGTCAGGACAAGATGTGATCACCTGGAGGTGCCGAGATGTACACGACCTGAGTCACTGTGCACTGGACGCTGGCACTGCCGGACCTGGTTTTGTGGCCAAGGCCGAAACAGCTAAATAGGCCCCACTCTGTGTTCAATGTGGCTATTCAAAAGGCTAATCGCACACATGTAGACAGCGGAGCTGGTGGGCCCCTTGGTACTGGTGGGCCCCTTGGTACTGATGGGCCCCCTTGGTACTGGTGGGCCCCTTGGTTGTGAACTGATCGGCCTATTGGGGTAATCAGGCCATGGCTGTGTTTCATGAGGGCTCGGGAAATAACAGCAAGCGTTTAAGATGCGCATTTGTTCTAGAAGACATTTTGCATGTCAGGAGATTGACAACGAGAAGCATAGATATTCAGGATGTGTTGCAATGGTGCCTATTGCAGTACACATTGCCCCGCAAGTGCAAGGTATGTCTTGCGCATGCGCCTTGGGGGGTTTTGGCGAGCAACAAGAAACTCGCATTGCGCCAGGAATGTTGTTATTCTCGGTCGGTGATCATCTCCATAGAAACTGCGTGACTGGAGGAACACCTGGAGTCATAACGATTTAAACATCGATGCAGCCTGTCCTCCTTTGCATGGTGATTTGTCATTGTATGGCAAGTGTCATAGGATGATTGGAGCCGACCCCCATGCCCCTCCTTGTGAAGGATCACCTCCTGTTCCCAATCCCAACAACTCATGAAATTTAAAATGTGGGTTTGTTTATCCATAGAGTGTTAACACTGATATTATGGCAGTTATCAACAAGTACTAGTATAAAAAGCTATGATTTGTTCAGATCTGAAACCTACATCTATGGACAGCACAAAACGTCCACTAGACTGTGCGACACAGTGGTTGCAAGGATCAGGTTGGGTTACCGTTACCTGTGGCAGGTGGCTGCAGGTGACGGGTCTCCCAATCCTGAGCACTCCAGTTGCAAACTCTGTGAGCAGGAACTACGGCATGATCTCCCGCACTACATCACTGAATGCCCAGTTATTAGACCTTTCAGACCAGTTGGCATGAGGTACCTGGAGCTTTGCAATTACTTTATTCACTCTCGTATTCTTGAAGATATCCTCACAGTATACCCAAAATTTGCCAGTGCAGGCTATTAAACACATGGCTCTGTATGACTAACCATCCTGCGAGATGGGGACTTGTATTACCACTGCTACCTTATTCAATCTTGTGTTGTTGATATCCTTGAAATGCATCCGGAGTCTGCCAGTGCAGACCGCTTATCACATGCCTCTGTATGACTAACCATCCTGTGTGATGGGGATTTTTTTAGCATCACCTAGTTAGCTTTTTTGACACACTGTACTCCACTTCATATAGTCTAGGGTAGCTGCACTAATGCAGATGTACCTAATATGTTAATAAAAAAAAAAAAGTTATCAACATTGAAAACGTTGATTGAATACTACTAAGGCATCTCTCCCACTAGGAGAGAGAATGGAAAGTAACGAGGGAGGAAGGGGCGAGGGAAAGAGGCAGAGAGAATTGGAGGGAGAGAGAATGGGAGGAAGGGAGGCGAAGAGACCAGGAAAGAGGCAGAGAAAGGGGGAAGGGGAGGGCGAGAGAGAGACCCGGGCACCGCCGAGTAACTCAGCTAGTTCTCAATACTACAACTCTCCTGACTAAACACCCACATGCTGGTATAGGTGGAACTGAACTACTTCGTTCAATTCCAACGTTGTTACCTTGGTAGGTGAGGAAGTCAACACGAACGTTCTTGGCTCAACGTTTGGATTGGAACGTTTACACCCCAACCAAAACTATCGTCTTAAATCACAAGACAATTAAGAAACGTATGTTGCATGGATCTTACCCAACAGGAGGGGCTGCTTTTGAGTAATGAAGAAACAGTTGAAAAGTTTGCTTATGGTTCTCATTAGCTTATAGTCAGTATACCTCTTACACAGACACACGCAACATTGCCCTGAGAATGCTCGTTATCAACGTTATCAACGAGCATAGTAACATGGCTCGTTATTGCCCTGAGAATGTATGCTAAATTCATGCGTGCTTGCCATGCACATCCACAAGCCGTTGCTGTTCAGCAGGAAATTCCAGTGACGATTAATAAGACCAAATTTGCCTGTGAATAGCTGTGAAAAAATGGTCCATGTTTGGGCATGCAAAAGTGATGTGATTTATAATGATAATCCGTGTTGGAGAAATACAATTGGACTTCACACTTACTGTTAAAACTTGGCACCAATATCACGTCTAACTAATGTGTCTCGCATGACGGCCTTTCTAGGGGCTGCAACAAAATTTGTATTAATTTTGACAATGCTTTTAAAGACGTGTTGTTGAATTAATGCATTTATTATAAGAAAAATAAATGATTTCAACCGTATAATTCTGGAAATATTTTGTAATACACCGAACAGAAGGCGTGGAAAGATAAACGAGCGAACCTATCAGTCGTGTCGAGGCCTTAGGCGTGACGTCACGCCAGTCTCTCGGCCACCGAACATAAACAGCTGCTCTGGTCACAGCTAAACTTCGACCCCCAAGGTCATATTGGTTGGGTGAGGCTAGCCACTAGCGTCTGATCTCCAACTATAGACAAAGAGACAAACAAGCACACATTCTCCCTCTTGTGTAGATAAACGTGTGTGTGGAGGGGATAACATTTTACGTGCTATTCATGCCCGTGCCACCTTTTGGGTGGCTTATCTTCATCAATCGGGATAACATCCATTTTCGTTCTCACCCGGTATTGCTGTATACCTCAGTCTGAGGTATGGAATAGCTTTTGTTTCTTCTGTCTTCCATGGACAAGGTTAGAGATGTGTTAAACATATAGTTCAAGGGTTTATTGTACATTCAACCACAGAAGGTGATTCGGTTCTGTATGGGTTAAGGTGTGTGGCTGAGGTGACCCAGAACGATGGGTCCCCATCCTACTCCAAGTACCTTCTCGTTGACTGCTCTATGAACGCCCGTATGAACTAAGAGGCGGCTTATGATACCGCAACCCGTTCTCGCACTTTCTTATAGTCAATATTGACTTATTAAATAAGTGCATATGTGACATACTAATTTATTGTGAATATTTTAGTTTACCTTGAAAAACTTCATAGAAAACACCGACTTTACCTAACGGTCTTAGTATGTTAAGATAAGCATCTTATTGCTTCGTAATTACAATTATTATTACTTAACCTATACCTATAATAGATTAAGTAATAATTGTAATTACGAAGCAATAAGATGCTTATCTTAACATACTAAGAAGGTTAGGTAAGGTTGGTGTTTTCTATGAAGTTTTTCAACGAAAACTAGTATGTCACATATGAACGTATTTAATAAGTCAATATTGACTATACGAAAGTGCGAGAACGGGTTGCATACCTTAATGAAAGGGGAATGTTGTGGTGCAACAACAGTATCTGTATTTGATGAAGACAAATGTGAGTCTTTACTTTGACTTTTGAACCCCCATTTAAACAAAAACAATAGTCTATAAATCATTTATATTTAATGCAAATAGAGATTACCGCGGATTATTAAGATCTGTTCACAAGATGCGGTTTACTTGTTGTAATAAGTCTAATGATATACGACTTGTTAGTCCGGTAGTTCCAGAGTAGTTCGGTAGTAGTTCCAGTAGTTCCGTTCCGGTAGTTCCGGTAGTTCCAGAGCCCCGTGCATGCTTGTCTTCCGCTGCTCACTGTTTAATATTTATGCCAGTGTGAAAACATTTGAGAGGAAATATATAAGGGAAGAGTCACTCGTGAGGAACTGTTGCTGGAACATTGCAGTTAACAATACGTGATTGTTGATCACTCTGCAACCATGCTAAGTTAGCCAAAAACTTATGAGGTGAGCCCCTGAGCTCCATACTGTAATGTGAGGCACATACTGTAATGTGAGGCACATACTGTAATGTGAGGCACATACTGTAATGTGAGGCACATACTGTAATGTGTGGCACATACTGTAATGTGAGGCACATACTGTAATGTGAGGCACATACTGTAATGTGAGGCACATACTATAATGTGAGCCACATACTGTAATGTGAGGCACATACTGTAATGTGAGCCACATACTCTAATGTAAGCTCTTGGGCTCCATACCGTAAAGTGAGCAAACGACACACCAACATTTGAAAAATAGTTAACTAAGGATAAAATTGAGTTTTATCCACAAAGGTAGGCTGAGAATGGTCCAGGATATCATAGTGTGTCGTTAGCTTACAGTTAAGGAGAGCTGTTGTTGGCTCGTAAAGACGTGTCTCTACATATCAGTGTGTGTGTGTGCAAAAAAGGCAATACTCAAGCAAAGGTTAACATTACATGATAAATTAACACACAAGTTTAGTTACCTGGTTATTGCCAAACGATATAACGATGGACCAAAGCTGAAATGGATAACATTATCTTCTAAAATATTCTTACCTAATAATATTTCTAAATCGTCAACTTTATTTGCAACTTATTTTTGTCATAGACTGATCCTCACACACAAAAAAAATAGTGTTCTGGGCATTTTGAATTAATATCTATAATAAATATGGATCATCTCTCCCAGCATTCGAATTTTAGCCCATGTGTTAACTCAAAATTGTGGTATTGAAAAAAAATAAGCATTTGCAACTTTTCCTTTTCGATTTTCATTAAACATGTATATTATTATAAGTCAAGAAATGAGTGATAGTATCAGTAATGTTAGGTAGGTAGTTAAGAGTGGGAAGTAAGTTAAGGTGAGAGACACGAATGTGAATGATACTAGGGACGTAGTGGAGTTGAGAATAAAGGGGAGGGAGTGGTGGAGAGGGGATTTTGTAGGGGAAAGGACTGGTGGGGGCTGGACTATTCCCGTGTTCTAAGAGAGCACGAGAAAGGGGGGGGAGGATGATGTGGGAGAGTATTGGGGGAGAAGGGAAGGGGTTGAGATCATGGGAGGGGGGTAGAGAGGGGTGTGTTGGAGGTGATGACAGCAGCTGACTTGCTGAGCTGTTTGGCTGTCTTGAGATAAGAGCATCTACAGGTGAAGGTAGCGTAGTGGTGCAAGGCCGGTGCGTGGTTGGGCAAACAAGAGGAGAAAGAAGGTGGGAAATGGAGCTCGGGAGACAGAACAAGACAGAAAATGGATAACTCGAGAAGAGAGGAAACAAGAGGAAGGCTTACAGTAGTCGCCGGTATAGTCAGGAAATACACCAAATGTTATGCAGGAGGGAAAAGATTGACTAACTATGAAATATGGAAGTTATGCACAAATCAGTATTAAATAAAGAGGAGTAGAGTCGATTTTGAATTCCATATGACAAAAACAAAATGATAAAAACCCACATGAAAGCAGCCATTTGTTAATGGTTGAAGACTAAATACGTAGCCATAATTACATATAAAATATCAGATTAAAATAAGACTTTATTACTAATTAACATATCGCCTTTAAGACTTTAGAGGCGACACTTTATTTAGAAATAAAGTTTACTCTCACTATAATATGTCTTTACAGACTACTTAGACGACAGCATTGTGTTTAGCAGACACAGACGGCCTTGTGTATCCTCCCTAATCTATATTCAATTCCAGCCTACGATCTCTATCTCACTCTACCATTTCTATGATCACTTCAGACCGTCGCCTGCAGTAATAGTGATATAATCATGTATTCTTCTACATGAGAAAGATAAGTTATCTTGTTTGTAAATAAATAATAAATTACATTACAGATCTGGTGGTGTACTAGAAGATGCTTAGCACGGAGATCAGCAAAGACGGCGAATAGAGGAAAGATAAAAGGAAGATTGACTTTCATGATCTGAGAAGTAGAAGGTGTTAACGATATGGAAGATTAACTGGAGTGTGAGGTAAGATTTAACTTGTATAAGATAAGCAAGTTTAGGAGATGTAGTGAATGAGATACTTCGACAGTTTTTATCTTAAATTGGCATTCGTATTTGATAGAAAACACCCAACACCGATAACAATTAAAGAAGTTGGACGATTTCAGTTTAACATGAAGTCTACTGGCACGTGGTAAGCTACAATTATCGGATGAGTTTATATAGGATTTTTTTTTTAATGTTATACTGGATAGGTTTCCTGAGCATATACTTGCTGAGCATGGAAGATTGCTGTAGGGAGATTGCCACACATCTAAACTTCTTAACAATGATGGAACGTCTCAGCTTCTTTATGACAGGAAGGCATTCTTGTCTAAGGAGAATACTTGCATGCATTGGAAGAACGGGCTCTACTGTCAAGAGGGGAAACGTTTCTGATTGAAAAGGCAAATCATGTGGGATTACTGTGCGTAAAATGTAAGGAAAGGGAATTATTTCTAATAGACTAACAAACCTGGTAGGACAGAGTGAGCGCCTCCAACCTATAGTATGAAAACACATGATTAGAAGACACTGAAACAGAGAGAGAAGAGTCAGACATGGCTCGTCCTGCCACTAGACATACACAAGATGTCATGCACATTGTAAAACACTTATATACAACAACCAACATTGAACGTTGGGAGAAAGAAAAGTTCTTAACATATAAATTTCATATTTTCATCATAAGGCAAAAGTGTCATAAAAATGCAGTGTGAAAAATCATATACTTAAAAATTTTAAGAAATCGAATACATTAAAATGTAAGTTAAGATGAAAATAGCGTGCAGAATCTGGTAGAGCAAAGCTGGAATACATAGAACGGAGAGTTAAAAATGAGGTTAACTTGAGAAATGTGTCAAATCTCAGTCGTATAGAAAATGTCTTACGGGTAAAGTTTTGTCAGCTAGAGTTGCAAAGCCCAAGCATCGCATGCGTTCCGTACGCTCCTGGTCATGCGCACCTGGCCATGCGTTGGAGACCTCGCATGAGTGAACATTAGTTCCCCTCTCTGTAGAGAGCGTCACTTTAGGAGGACAAATGGTGCTGATAGTGTGAGCTGACGTCAGTATATAGAGCTAGGAGTCACAGGACAGCTAAGTGTCACAGAACAGCTAGGAGTGTCACAGGACAGCTAGGAGTCGCAGGACACCTAGGAGTCACAGGACAGCTAGGAGTGTCACAGGACAACTAGGAGTCACAAGACAGCTAGGAGTCACAAGACAGCTAGGAGTCCCAGGACAACTAGGAGTCACAGGGCAACTAGGAGTCACAAGACAGCTAGGAGTCCCAGGACAACTAGGAGTCACAGGGCAACTAGGAGTCACAGGGCAGCTAGGAGTCACAGGGCAACTAGGAGTCACAGGGCAACTAGGAGTCACAGGGCAACTAGGAGTCACAGGGCAACTAGGAGTCACAGGGCAACTAGGAGTCACAGGGCAACTAGGAGTCACAGGGCAACTAGGAGTCACAGGGCAACTAGGAGTCACAGGGCAACTAGGAGTCACAGGGCAACTAGCAGTCACAGGGCAACTAGGAGTCACAGGACAGCTAGGAGTCACAGGACAGCTAGGAGTCACAGGACAGCTAGGAGTCGCAGGACAGCTAGGAGTCCCAGGGCAACTAGGAGTCGTAGGACAACTAGGAGTCGCAGGACAACTAGAAGTCACAGAACAGCTAGGAGTCACAGGACAGCTAGGAGTCACAGGACAGCTAGGAGTGTCACAGGACAACTAGGAGTCACAAGACAGCTAGGAGTCACAAGACAGCTAGGAGTCCCAGGGCAACTAGGAGTCACAGAACATTACTGGAAAATGTTAGGGAAAAGAGAAGCTCAGGAGACTGCTGTAAACTCACAAGATCAGGAAGACACTGGATAAAAGGAACATGTATAATTAAAGGATTGAAACGTAGGCAAGCTGTGTAATTGTCTTCCGTTTAGGATGATATCCTATAAGGTCTGCTGAATCAGAAGGATAAAGCATGATTAATGATGATGTTCTAGTATTCATCAGGACCGGAAACTCTGTGTCAGGATTTCTCTTCGTGAATAATATTCTTGAGATCAGGATGTCTACCGATAAGATAGGCCTAAGATAAGCCTAAGAGTCCGGTCATATCGTACACAGCTGTTTAGCTCAAAACTCGTTTTAAAATATATAAAACGGTATATATATATATGTTTCACAATAGCAACCTCCTCTGACTCGCCGTCTAAGTGACTGAAGTTCCCGGTCTTGATCGCAAGCTACTGAGGCAAAAGATCACTCATACCAAGACGCTTCTATCCGCTAGTAGCATCTTAAACACTGCAGGAAGTCGCTCGTTGGTAGAGTTGAAAAGAAAATGGAGACATTGTCAGAGATTAAACTCAGTTCCGGAAGTTGATCGTGCAGCGGTATTAGCTTATAACAGTGTCCTTTGCAGTTAGCGTGTAATATAATTTCACCGATATATATATATATATATATATATATATATATATATATATATATATATATATATATATATATATATATATATACACACATTACACTAGATGTTAAAGAGATCAAAGAAACATCACTGAGTTATAAACGAATACCACTTGGCAGCTTGGAAAAGTGGGGCAGTAGGCAGCATGCAGTAAGAGAAAAGATGGCGGAGAGGCGAGATGAAGAGGGTAAGGGTCACCTTGCTGGTCTGGGCAGGGGCGGCGTTCTTTCCAAGGGAGGCAGCGTGGTGCGGCGGGTGGGGTGGACTTGTGGGAGAGACGCGGGCGCCAGCAGGAGCTTGGGACCCAACATGGAGGGCGAGGTTGGCTGTCCGCGTTTGAACCCGCTCAGAACGCCTCCGCCGTTTCCTCCTCCATGCCCGCTAAACCACAACACCACCGTTACCAATACACCACCACCACCACCACAACAACAACAACACACAACACACAACACAACAACGCTGGCCCAGCTTGTGTGCTTGGGCGCGTGGGGTGACCTAACTGCTCTGCTCCTTCTCACAGCGTGGCAAACTAACTCACAGATAAGCTGCAGGATGCAGTAGGTAAAACGTGTCTTATTATCAGTTATTCACAATTCTTAAGTGGCATACTGAATTTAATTAATCTTATGAATGCGCAGTTCTAAGTTATGCATGAATATCAGAGCCTAAAGGTTTTATTAAAATACAAAATATAATCAATCAATGGCTTTCATATTTTATGCGGTTTAATACGTATTATTCAGTTTTATTCTTTCATGCAGTCTAAGCAAAGTCTGATTGAAAAAATTGAATAAGAATATTCAGTAATCATGCTGATTGTGCACTGAGCTGAACTTACAGCAAAATATGTAATGATTATACAAAAAATGGTATTGCCATATGAAAAGTTAAATACCTAATCTATCATATTAATGGCAGGTAGTAGTAATAATACCAAACCAGGCTATTATTGTAATAAATCAAGCAGAGATAATTTGACTAAATACCGTAAAATACAGTTGCACTATTGCATTACAGTACAGCAAAGTCACCATGTCCCATACATGAAGTTGCACATAATTGCATATTCTCTACTAATATCTATGTACTGTACTTCGACCAAATTACTCTACAGAAATCTATGTACTGTACTTCAAAATTCAGGTAATGTGATATCACAAAACGTCTGTGTTGGAGACAAATGATATATTCTATTACAGAAAACCAGACTAAATATGGGCTTGGCTACAATCAATTCAAAATGATAGCCCCTTGCAGCCTAAGGCTGCGTGCGTGAGGTGGGCTGAGCTAGAAATTAGTACGTAGTCGGATGTGAGCAAGAACCGGATAATAAATACCGAGAGAAACTTACTTGGGTACCGAACATTCCAGTTTACAGTTGTAAACTTCGCTTAATTTTTGAACATTTTTGTTTAATGCTTTAATGCGCATTAATTTATCGCATTTTACTATGCCATTTTTGGCTCTTTTCATTATAATTTTGACACTAGAGTACAAAGTATAAATTTCAACAAATCATGTACCCTAGCAAGTAAATATAAATTAGATATTTTACATAGATTAGGTATAGTTTAATTCATACTATTTAAATAAGGATTTCGCTCTATTATGTACAAAATAAAGAAATTTACGTCAACCCATTCTCACGCTTGTGTTATACCTATAAGTACAAATTGAAGAATCTGATTTGAAACTAATCAATTTAGTCTAAGAAAGGAATTTCCACAAAAATTTGGAAAATCAATTAAATTTGACAATGGGTGGGTTAAAAAAAATGAAAATCCAACATAAACAAGGACTAATATAATTTTGCAAAGGTTGCCTTTAGGTATGCTGGCTACGTATATATATATATATATATATATATATATATATATATATATATATATATATATATATTTCCATTTTCAGGATTAAAGTATTTTTGCTGTTTGGTTAAGGAGTTGTGATTGCCTTGAAAGCCCTGAGAAGGTTGGTACGCCTTGAGCCCAACAACAAACTTAGACTATGTAAGATTGGTTTTCGTTTACCTCATTATGCTTAAAGTTTACCATTATTATTGTTATATGTAAATTGTACTAAAAAAATTTGCTCCAAAATTGGACTTCTCAGTGTGTGTATATATATATATATATATATATATATATATATATATATATATATATATATATATATATATATATATATCACGAGGATGGATTGCTATCGTTCACACACAGATAGATTATCTGCGGATAGTGTATTGAGAGACTATCTCAGGTAGAAACGATGCTACAGCAGCAAAATACTTGCACTAACCTTTAGAACAATGACATTTCCAACACAGATATTTGGTGGCATTGAAAAATCGGTCTACTTTGGATCTACAAATTACTTTAAATGAGAGAACCTTAGAAATGTCTACCCTAAAGCTACTCACCGGGACATGAATGCAAAAAAAAATTATTCTACCAGTGTTAATCAATGAGCAATTTTCAACGTTTACACTTTTCCGAGGTTCATGTGTCACACCATCCCTCCCCCTCGACGCTGTGGGCTGGTGGGGGTGGGTATCGTGCTGGGGCGAGGGGGTAGGGGGGGAGTCAGAGGCTCATCATGAAGGGTGGAACACACCTCCAGGGCAGCAGTCAGTGATCACAACTCTATCACAACATCCCTTCACCTGCATACATTGTAATAGCAGAGTTATAGCCTATTGCTGTAACTCGTATTGTTTGATACCAATGGATGTGGTGACAGATCTTCATACGTTATACGGTGTATGCTGGAGGGTTGGAGCAAGCATGCTGAACATCGAATAGAAACACCCAATTGTACAAAGCTCAACCTTATCCAGCATGCAAATACAAGCAAGCTGGTTGCTGCAAAGCAAACAGTTACTCACTTTGTCCTCTCAATAGCTAGAATCATTGTCATTGTCATAATCATTTTCGTAAGAGAGAAGAGAGAGAGACCTGGAAATTGAAAGAGGATACATAAAGTTTGATGAGACAGAAAGGGAGATAAAATAAACAAAATATGGTGTTACAGTGCTCCATGTACAACGAGGTACCCATCGACAACAGTTTAGAGACTGCAGACTGAGAGTGCGCGAGCGCTGGGTGCGGGTAAAGCAAATAGTGCTGGATGAGACCAGGAAATAAAGCTGCTATTGTCGCATTGTTTACACAGGTGAGAATCCCCAAGGGTCATCTCTGGAACAGATGAGACCTTTATAAAGGACGTTTAGACATATCGCATTTAACGTATAACTACAATAATTCTTAGAAAGAAAGGCTTTATTACAAATGAATTTGTTGGGCTAGGATACTTGAGGCATGATCCGAGCACTCCTAAGAACCGATAGATCGAGTCAGGTATGCTTTGTGTTGCAGGATGGGACGTTCCTACACTACACAAACACAAGAACACAAGAGAGGTTAAAAAAAATAAAAGGAACAAGGCCGAGAGTAAATAAAACGGAGGAGCAGGCAGACTGAGGACTAATCATGCGAGGCGTGGTGCACTATCAGAGGGGACATCTAACACAAGCACTGAGGGGAGGGTCCACAAACCATACCTGGTCTTATTATTTGGTGACATAGCCCACCCATTTTCTGGTGCTTTATTCTCATCTGCCTTTCTTTCGGTGGTGTATGCATGAACCCGTATGCCTATCACTGCAAAATATATTTATATATATTTTTTTTATCAAGGACGTTTCAAATCTCGTTTATTGGTGTTCATTAGTTTTGCTTAAATTGGAGAATAGAACGATTGTCATTTGTTTTGCGGGTTCTAATAATTTGCAGAATGCATACAAGATAGTCTAAGGTGCTAGTAGTTAATCTTACACTAAGCATTAAAGTAACAGACAAAAGTATTTATCGGAAACACAGTAGAGGTGAGTGAACTAGTAATCAAGCACATTACTGAGAGTTGTCCTACGGCTGCTACCCTACTATCAGTACGGGCATGCTGATCGACTCAGCATAAAAGAAGCACCAAGTGCCTTCCTACTGCTCGGCAAAAAGAGAGACACAGGCAAGGAATCACCACTCAAAATGTTACTGCTATCCATAACAGGAGCTAGTTACCTGTGGCATCACCACCACCACCACCAACAGCCACTACGCTCGTCATACAAATGTTCTGCAAAGCAAGTATGGCTAATTAAAGTAGGCTGGTGGTCACCTTCCTTCACCAAGGATCTTAGTCTTATCTTCAGCTCGAGGAGTCTACCTTCATTTATTCTTCAAATAATTAAACTTATTCAATTTGCATGCTCACATACACATTGTACAGCATATAATATCTACAAACTGTTAAATACATTATCATTTTATATATGTATATTCACTTTAGGATTAGGCAGGGTACCCTATTAAGACCCGGCAAAACAAATGACTACGCTTGACACTGGACCTACTGGTGAGGTGCTGTGTAGGGGGCATAAGTGTTCATTCAGTACTCATTTGGGGCACGGAAGTTACCGGTAGAGGATCTACTCAGAAACACTCAGGGTGAGACTACGGTCTAATGTGTGGATAATAGGCGGTTTAGTATACACATAACAGGGAGAACACTGCATTAGTAACGCATTTATTATATTGAAACTAGTATTTAATGCCTTGATTAACTTGATATATTTCAGTATCAGTAATAACCACAAGTTTGTCAATTGTTTATAAACACTGTGATTATAATACATGACAAAATTAAGAGTGACAAATAAAAGTGTTCAAATCAAACCAGACAGCAGCACTTATGTTAACATGAGCGCATACAGAGTGCCCCGTGATGAACAGATACTTACCCCTTGTCGTCGGGTTCGCCTCGCAACTTGTTCATTCCCTGGTTGATGGTCTTGCCGATGGACCGCAGCGAGTAGTTGGACGCTTCCTTGGATGCCTTGGCTGAACTAACCTCCTGGGGCCGATCTCCTTCAGCATCCGGCTTCCTCATCCCTACGTAGGTGATGAGGAGGTACAGGATAGACACCAGGAAGCAGCCCCAAGGTATAACGATGGCGAATACAAGTTCCCTCTTGGTGTTGTTGATGTCTAGGCTGGTGAGAACAAGCGTCCGCTGCTCTCTGGAGTAATAACAAGGGAAGGTTCTTCCCGGAGTGCTGTAGTTCTTGTTGAATATGGTGCAGTTGACGTCGGGAGGGTACCCGCACCCTTTGACATTGGGGTAGAGTTGAGCGTCGACCACGTCCCACTCCATCTGGTCTATCTCGTCGACGTCCGTATAATTGACTCCGGCCAGCTCACCCGTGGGGTCCTTCTTGTAGTTGACGAATATGTGCGAGCACTGGAAGACGTCTTTGGTGCACCCTTCCCGACACGAAGACCAAGAACAGTTACTGACGCCGAACAAGAACTCGGACTCCTTGGTGACGCATACTCTCGGCTCCTCGTCGAAGTCGGCGAAAAGGGTGGAGAAGGCAGGGTCTATAATGAATGGAACAAGAAATAAAAAGGCGAAAGAACTGAAGCAAGCAACGAGTGTGAAGAAAGCTGTGAGGTAGAAACGGAGGCAGTTCTTACACTTATTCTTCTTAGGTGGGGGTTCCAACCCCACCGTCTCCGTTGTTGGGGAATCAATGGTTGCGGTTTCTCTAGACTTCAAACTTCACAGATATAAGAGGTCTGGCAGACCCTTACTTCGACGTTGCGTGGTCCCGAAAAGTATCAGCCAAAGGCACCAGTTGTGTGTGTCATAGAGTGCCATGTACAGGCGAGGGCGTGGGGGCCAGGACGTGTGTCGACGGTGGAGGGACTGAGCTGCCAGGTGCAGGATGGCCCTCCTACCCGGCTCACAGAGGCTCCCTCATGCGCCCATCACCGCCGTCACCCGCTACCTGCTGGACACACAACCATTAGTACTACTCTCACCCCATCCCCGTCCACCTACAACCTATAATACGCAGCATTATAAATTAAGCAAGAACAAAGGTACCTACAAAATTCTCAGAGGAATTGACAGGGTAGATAAAGATAAACTGTTTAACACGGGTGGGACGCGAACAAGGGGACACAGGTGGAAACTGAGTACCCAAATGAGCCACAGGGACGTTAGAAAGAACATTTTCAGTGTCAGAGTGGTTAACAGATGGAATGCATTAGGCAGTGATGTGGTGGAGGCTGACTCCATACACAGTTTCAAATGTAGATATGATAGAGCCCAGTAGGCTCAGGAACCTGTACACCTGTTGATTGACAGTTGAGAGGCGGGACCAAAGAGCCAAAGCTCAACCCCCGCAAGCACAACTAGGTGAGTATACAGAAACACACTCAAAGCAAGTAATATGCGCTCTGAAGGATCAGTAGTGTTCAATATTGTTAGTCTCTGATGATTAAACCTCGCTGCCTGGCTCTCTCTCTCTCTCTCTCTCTCTCTCTCTCTCTCTCTCTCTCTCTCTCTCTCTCTCTCTCTCTCTCTCTCTCTCTCTCTCTCTCTCTCTCTCTCTCTCTATATATATATATATATATATATATATATATATATATATATATATATATATATATATATATATATATATATATATATATATATATATATATATATAATAGAGGTAACCGGCGGTGCCCGGGATAGTCTGCCTCTATCCCCCGTCCTCCTCCTTTCCTCCTTTTCCTCTCTTATTAACATGTAGATATAAAGTCTGACCTGCTATCAAACAATATTTTATCAAATAAAAATCCAATAATATTTATAGATGTGTCGATAGATGTATTTATAGATGTGTATAGACATTAGATAAATTGTTCACGACCTTCGCGAGACGACAATTGGAATATGCAGTGGTTGTTTGCTGGCCATATCTCAAGATGCACCTCAATAAATTAGAAATGGCGCAAAGACAAGCAACTAAATGGCTTCCGGATCTAAAAACAAGAGCTATGAAGAGAGGCTAAAGGTGTCAAATATATCAAGGGGAGAAGATAGAAGAAAAAGAGGGGCAGTGATCCTTACGTTGAAAATAGTAAGAGGAATTGACAAACATTTACAAAGAGGAATTCTTAAAACCGGTATCGTCACCAACAAGAGGTCATACCCCTCAAACTAAGGGAACAAAGCGGCCAAAATAATGAGAAAATTATCTTTTACAGAGTGGTAGACGACTGGAATAAGTTTAAGCGAGAAGGTCGTGGAGGGCAAAACCGTCAGTTGTTTCAAAGCGTCATATGACAAAGAGTACCGGGAAGACGGGACACCACGAGCGTAGCTCTAATTCTGTAACTACACTTAGGTAATTACACTTAGGTAATTACACACACACACGCACACACACACACACACACAAAACTGACTACAGTTACAGCAGCACGTCATAAACGGGGTAATTAAACGGCTGTCTTCATTTTGTAATAATGAGGAAGTCGACCCTTGGACCTGTGTATAGAAGGCGGGCATGTTACCAGTGTGTCACGAGCAGCACGCTGAGCACCACAGAGCGTTGCACAGTGTGATAGCCTAGAGTGTGAGGGGTATATAAGAGTGCAGGGCCAAGTGTACTGAGGAAAGAGTGCGTAGAGAAGAGTGAGAGGAATGTGTGTGTGAGGAGACTTAGAAGGATGGGTAAGTGGGAGGAGTGTTGGAGATGAGAGGCATAAATAAGTGAGTAAAGTGTGAAAGGGGGTCTCCGAGAATATTGGAGAGTAGGATAAATGGAAGAGGGTGGTGTGAGGCAGGGGCCAACAGCCTGGTCGACGACATATATAGAATTGTACAAGACAGGTCAGTCAATACTACCGCCCCCTCCCCATCCCCCCACCTTGTCGTGTTTACCATGCACGAGAACAGGTGACCCAGTAGCAGGTGGGCCAAGAACCAGGTGAGAGGAAGCGACGAAACCAAGTGAGACAGGAAAAGGTTCCTGGTGAGGGACGAGGGAGGTACCAGGTGAGGGAGGGAGGGAGGGGGAAGGTACTAGGTGAGGGGAGGTACCAGGTGAGGGAGGGGGAATGTACTATGTGAGTAAGGGGGGAGGCACTAGGTGAGGGGAGGTACCAGGTGAGGGAGGGAGGGGGAAGGGGAAGATACCAGGTGAGGGAGGGGGGAAGGTACTATGTGAGTAAGGGGGGGAGGCACTAGGTGAGGGGAGGTACCAGGTGAGGGGGGGGGTGGAAATACCAAGGAAGAGAGTACCTTGATCATGTACGCGTGTTATATAAAGTATCGCCCGTCACGCCATCATTAACTAATACACTAACACGAGGACAAACACCGCACCTCTCGCTTCACTTTCATGTAAACTCTTAACACTCATCATATTAACATTCACTCATCATATAAACACTGCCAGTCATCATATTAACATTCACTCATCATATAAACACTGCCAGTCATCATATAAACTCTGCTAGTCATTATATAAACATTGCCAGTTATTATATAAGCACAGTCATCATACAAACACTGGCAGTCATTATATAAACACTGGCAGTCATTATATAAACACTGGCAGTTATTATATAAACACTGTCAGTCATCATACAAACACTGCCGCAGCAGACTACAGCGTGACACATTATAAGGACCATGTTTGTAACACTCGTAGTTGCTTCCTGGATACATAACTACACCTGTGTGTTTAGTGTGTTGCCCACACACACACACACACACACACACACACACACACACACACACACACACACACACACACACACACTGAAAGAAGAAGGGAGAGGGGGGACATGATAGGAACGTATAAGATACTCAGAGGAATTGACAGAGTGGACATAGACGAAATGTTCACACGGAATAGTAACAGAACGAGAGGACATGGATGGAAGCTTGAAACTCAGATGAGTCACAGAGATGTTAGGAAGTTTTCTTTTAGCGTGAGAGTAGTGGGAAAATGGAATGCACTTCAGGAACAGGTTGTGGAAGCAAATACTATTCATAATTTTAAAACCAGGTATGATAGGGAAATGGGACAGGAGTCATTGCTGTAAACAACCGATGCTCGAAAGGCGGGATGCAAGAGTCAATGCTCGCTCCTGCAAGCACATATAGGTGAGTACATATAGGTGAGTACACACACACACACACACACACACACACACACACACACACACACACACACACACAGCTCGATTCTGCACACATAAATAGTAAATACACACATGGAAGGAAATCACTAGACACACACGCTGTAGATGAGAACACTGGATTAGATAACAGACAACAGGTAAGTTGGGGCTTCGGAGCTAGATCCAACCGCCCTACCCCCCACACATATACACACACACATAACATGGGCGCCAGAACAGTAGCAGGCACATCACTAATTACACAGCATAATTGCACCAGCTTATTGCTGGTTATCTGAAAAATCCATACTCTCATATTTACGAGGCGCTCAATCATCATCATCAACATCCCCCCCCCTTTCATCATTCCGGTTTGCTTCGTCTCCTCTCCTGTCTTATCATCCTCATTCTCTTCAACTCCATTTCTTCCTCTTGATTAACCTCCTCTGCTCCTTTTCAAATGATTGTTATGTACTTGATAAGTAATATGACGCATTTGAGTCTACGGAGATCCCTCTCCGCGTTTCATTTTAGTTTATTATAAAATAACTATATTTTACAAATAAAATAGTTATTTGTGTTTCACTGCTGTGCTTGTAAGGCAAATTTTTGTATGTTTTACGGTATTTTACTTGTTTTGTGAATATGATTATGATTAATGCTTAAAACTTATTTAACAGTCACGTTAAAGGCCTGGTCGACAACCGGGCCGCGGCGACGCTAAGTCCCGGAAGCACATCAAGATCTCCAGATCTCACGTTCAAATGGGCGCTGCGTCTCAAGAACCTAGATATTATTCATCTAGAGATTCTAGAGTCTAGACTGTTGGGTATTAGATTCCAGGTTGATAAATTTGAAAAATATGCCAAATATGCTCCCTGGTGCAGCATTTAAATGTCTCGTGATCGGTGTGGCGTATGCTTTGTTGACACGCACTTAGACTACGAGGCCTTGTATCGAGGACATGTTGACACGCACTCAGGCTACGAGGCTGTGTATCGAGGACATGTTGACACGCACTTAGACTACGAGGCCTTGTATCGAGGACATGTTGACACGCACTCAGGCTACGAGGCTGTGTATCGAGGACATGTTGACACGCACTTAGGCTACGAGGCCGTGTATCGAGGACATGTTGACACGCATTTAGGCTACGAGGCCGTACATGGAGGACATGTTGACACGCAATTAGGCTACGAGGCCGTGTATCGAGGACATGTTAATTTAACGCGCACTTAGGCTACGAGGCCGTGTATCGAGGACATGTTGACACGCACTTAGGCTACGAGGCCGTGCACCGAGAACATGTTGACACGCACTTAGGCTACGAGGCCGTGCACCGAGAACATGTTGACACGCACTTAGGCTACGAGGCCGTGCACCGAGAACATGTTGACACGCACTTAGGCTACGAGGCCGTGCACCGAGAACATGTTGACACGCACTTAGGCTACGAGGCCGTGAATCGAGGACATGTTGACACGCACTTAGGCTACGAGGCCGTGCATTGAGGACTTGTTGACATGCACTTAGACTACGAGGCCGTGCATCGAGGACATGTTGACACGCACTTAGGCTACGGGGCCGTATATCGAGGACATGTTGACACGCATTTAGGCTACGAGGCCGTGTATCGAGGACATGTTGACACGCACTTAGGCTACGAGGCCGTACATGGAGGACATGTTGACACGCACTTAGGCTACGAGGCCGTGTATCGAGGACATGTTGACACGCACTTAGGCTACGAGGCCGTGTATCGAGGACATGTTGACACGCACTTAGGCTACGAGGCCGTGTATCGAGGACATGTTGACACGCACTTAGGCTACGAGGCCGTGCACCGAGGACATGTTGACACGCACTTAGGCTACGAGGCCGTGCACCGAGAACATGTTGACACGCACTTAGGCTACGAGGCCGTGCACCGAGAACATGTTGACACGCACTTAGGCTACGAGGCCGTGCACCGAGGACATGTTGACACGCACTTAGGCTACGAGGCCGTGTATCGAGGACATGTTAATTTAACGCGCACTTAGGCTACGAGGCCGTGTATCGAGGACATGTTGACACGCACTTAGGCTACGAGGCAGGACACGTAAGACATGCACATCCGTGCCCTGTTGCTCTTACTGTTCTTAACTCTTGGGTTATCTTCCACAACAACAAATCTACTTTCACTTTAAAACTGGCCTCCTCATGTGTTCTATATCTCATTGAACGTTTTCAAAACAAATACGAGGCAAGATATGAAACAAACCCTTATGACTAAATATTAAGATCGCACAAATGATGTTTACGGGCAAACGTTCGCTCAGTTAACAAATATCACAGTTACCTGACATAAGTATTAAACTTATTCCATACATAGCTTCACATTTGCTTGTAGACGCAGATGTCGTTAAGAATGGGAGTGGACCGCCCTCTCTCAGCACATTCAACAGAGACCTCCGAGTCACTACTGACTGCCTAATCTCCCCCAACAGTCAGACATTCCTGGGAGCCCGGTCCCCTACCGCCATCAGTTTGCGACGGGTTCATAAATCTCTGTTTTGTAATATTACGCTTGAATTGGTCTGCTTGCGGAATCACCAGACTTGGGTTATCACAAGGGACAGGAAAGCTACAACTTACCTAGAGAAAGAGATGTTTAGAATAGCGTAGACTGGTGTGTTAGGACGAGACCTCTGCCTCTGGCGCTGACGACGCGGCGCACTCGCTCTGCGCACCTCTCCTCCACCCGCCACACCCGTTTTTCTTCATTGCATTTCGCCTCATGTTCATAGTACGAATTTATGTCATAATTGGTTAAAGATGGAGCTCATGTCACGTAAATTTTATCAAAACATAAAATTTATTGACATTGCTCAGAATTCGTTGTAATGTATGACGGCAGCGTGGGTGTAAATTGACATTTAAACTCAGTGTTTACATATTACCAGAAGCGTATAAGTGATGCTTTACGCACTGTGTAATGTTATGATTGGTGTTATGCTTAGACCCATCATTAACTAAAAGATCAATATCTGTGCCCACAGAGCGTTCAATATCTCCGGCGATCTATACAAAGAAAGAGAAGAAGTTTCCAGACAATTCGTGCGTTGTGGAAGGTATCGCGCGGTATCGACCTCGGCGAGGCTCGTCGCGTCAGTCTATAGTGGAGGGGGACGGGGGCGAGGGGGCGTGGAGCGAGGGGAAAGAGTGGGATGGAGTGGGCTATGGATCGTGAGGGGCCGAGGAGTCGGTAGGAGACCAGTTGTCGGGAGATGGCCATGCAGGGGTCGGGAGGGACGAGGTGGCGTGTTGTTGCGAGGTGTCTAGAGGAGGGGTGAGTGGTGGAGAGGAGTAGGGAGGGGTCAAGGAACCCTCTGCGCATGCACAGCCTCTTCTTATCTCCACATTCTCCAGGATCTGCATTTTTTCTTTTACTCACTAACGCTTCTCTGAGATATACAAGATATTATACAACAATATAAAGTCATAACGAGAACAGAAGTCTGCGATTAAGATATATTATGTCAAAACGAGCTAATTGACGCCCGTGGCGCCACCAACAAGTGACAGTGAGAGCTGTTCACTTGAGCCAGTTAAGCAAGTCTCAGCTGTGTCTGGGTACAAGTGACAGGATGAACAACCCAGCGGGTTTTCTTCATTTTGGGGAGTGTTGTACATGCTGCTATGGCGGTATGTCCACTCACGAGATGAGTGGCGCTGCCCAATACTGTCACTATGGCGGTATGTCCACTCACAAGATGAGTGGCGCTGCCCAATACTGTCACTATGGCGGTATGTCCGCTCACAAGATGAGTGGCGCTGCCCAATACTGTCACTATGGCGGTATGTACACTCACAAGATGAGTGACGCTGCCCAATACTGTCACTATGGCGGTATGTCCACTCACAAGATGAGTGGCGCTGCCCAATACTGTCACTGGCGGTATGTCCACTCACAGGATGAGTGGCGCTGCCCAATACTGACACTATGGCGGTATGTCCACTCTCAAGATGAGTGGCGCTGCCCAATAAACTCGCCCCTCGGGGCAAAATTTAAGTGACAATGAACATGTTCTCCGAGACTGTACACAAGCGTCATAACTCACATCGATTCCCTGTTTGTAT